GCTTTGAAATGGTTGTCATGAGAAAAACGATGAGTGGAATATAAAATTAGAAGAAATTTTGTGTTCTATTTGTTTCCTTACCATTTACTATATGAATGTTTTCCTCATATATTTGTTATATTTTCTATTTTCCACCATCAGAATGAATGGAACTGGGTTACGTTTCCTTTCTTATATTCTAAATGGTAATATTTCATAAACTGAAGATTCATTTTCTTTTCTTTTAAAAATACAATTATTTGCACTCCAAAGGTTTTTGACTTTTGAAAAGATTTAAAATCTTCTAAAAAGTACTATAACATACATGTTGAAATAATTCATGGAATTCTTTTTAGAGTTATTTAAAAGTGTAGTCTTTTTCGAAAACAAAACTAAGAAATGATATTTGCACAAAAACAAAACAAATGGTAAATTTTTAAATTAAAAAATGCGTATATACTATAAGACTATACCATCTTTTAGTAGTAACAAGAATTAACTTGAGTATCATTTTTCTTTTAAAAAGTGAGCCAAAACGAGTTCTTCTATATATGTAGTATTCATTAGGTAAGAAAGACTTTGAAGTTTTCGAAATTCTTCCATTTTATTGCGTTCTGTTTGTATTCTAGTCAATACGAAGTCAAGCTTTTATATATTAAAAACTCAAGCTTAACAAAATTGTAAAAATTAGAATTAAATTTTAGGAAAAAGAGGTCTCGAATTTGGGTGTTTTATGAGACACAGAGAGACCAATGTGTGAAGCGCCACGTAAAGGGCTTTCATGTCTTCTCTTTGTCCCTTTCTCTTTGGATTTTAGAATCTCTTTGACTCTTTCTTTTTATTCCTTAAGTTTTCACTCTGAATTCGAAGAAATATTAATAGTAAATTCACCAAATTAATGCTCAATTACTATATAATATTTTGTTATTTTATTAACACATTGGCTATTGTACGACTCAATTATGATATGTCGGTCGATATCTCGAATATTCATGTATGTATTGTAATTGTCTTACCTAAAACGTTAAGAAAACACATATGCCTGATGTTTATTTTTTTCATATAGTGTGACGTACGGTTAGTGATTTGTTTTTTCTTCATAAAAATATTTATAAATAATATTAATGATTGACCATACTAACTATCATATGACTTATACAAAAATAAGTAATTACTTTTATACTGCAGAGGAATATAATTCATTGTATGTTGGTAAATAATGATAAAATCTGATGATAAAGCACTACAAGAAAAATTGTATTTAGCCACAAAATTAATTGTAGTTATAGTTAAAATTTTGTGGCTATATTGTATTTAGCCACGAAAAGCCACAACTCATATTCATGTCTATAGGCTTGTAGCTATTCTCGAATCGTGGCTATTTGTGGATCTATTTCCACGATATTGCCACAACAAAGTTTGTAGCTAATATCCACGAAATATACATGATTATATTTGTAGCTACAATAGCCACGATTTGTCACACACGAAATCGTAGCTATTATCCACAAGTATCCATAACGATTGTTGTGGCTAAGATACACAAATTGCCACAACTAAACATGTGTCTATAATAGCTACAAGATTGTTACGAATTAATTCGTTGCTATAAGTTACAAATATCCACAATCAGCTACAATTTTTTTTGCACATTAGCGACAAAAAAACTATGAAAATGTTGTGACTAACTAACAATTCTG